TATTGATATCTACCAGAATGGTCACTTTCTTACGGAGACCACTGCTGATGGTATCTTGATCAGCACCCCCACAGGCTCAACAGCATACAGTCTAAGTGCAGGAGGCCCAATTGTTCATCCACTTGTCAAATCTCTCCTCATTACGCCCATCAGTCCTTGCAGCCTAAGTTTCCGGTCCCTGGTGCTCCCGCTAGACACCAAAGTCACATTACGAATGAGTCGCAAGAATCGTGGCCGTGAGCTTGACCTTAGTATTGATGGCAAGAGGTGTGCGGGCGTGTCGCCAGGGACTGAGATTCGGGTAGAAGGCGAATTTGTTGGACGCGCTGGACCAGGAGAGGAGTGGCATGGCGGTGTACCATGTATGATCAGGACTGAGGATGATGATCCTTGGGTGGGTGGCTTGACTGGCCTACTAAAGTTCAATCATCCTTTTGGACGAGAACCTGGTGGGGATGAGTATGCCGATTAGGCAGTTGATGAGACATGTATGCATATGGATGCATATGTGTGCGATTATTTGATACCCATACGTTTGGATAATAATGAAGTCATGAGCAGATTTAGCACTCTTGGGGTTCGATGATAATTCGAAATGCTTCGAGAAGAGCAAGATTGAGGCTACAATAAGCTTAAGAGGAAACTTTAAACAAATACCAGAGGAGGCAAGTCATCAGCTTCTTGTTGGGTGTCTTACTCCATGATCCGTACTCCGTAACACAGATACAATTATAGCTCTCTGTTCTTGAGCTGCTTGGGCTGAGCTTTCACCACGAGATGGAACAAAATGATGACAGGCTTAGGGCTGAAAATCGCAGCCAATTGCAGTAAGATGGCGCGCAGCAGTAAGCGGCATGAATCCTACAAAACTCCGGATCGGCCGAGTGGTGAAGCCATGGGCGGTCCGCAGACATGGATTCAGCCACTCAGCTTGAGCAACTGCCCTTTCCAGAGGCAACGGTGATCTAAGAAGGATTCACTGTGCGCTGACAGATGGCAGTGCATGACTGAACAAGAAGATCTTGTCGACGGTCCACAACAGCTGACAAGTGGCTCAGATACGTGGCAGAACAATGGATTCATCTTAGCGAGGACAGCTCCAAAACAATACGAGTATCTAAGCGCTCTTGTGATCAAATTCCATGTGAAGAAGCATCAGAAGAGAGCCGCCAAGCCGTCTTGGCTCTGAGATTAGCAACGGCGGTTTGAGCTGGGCGGGTTCCCTTTAATTTCGCCGCCAGGGGTTTTCCTCAAACATCCCGAGTCCTTGTGGATCGGGATATTTTGATGACCCATGATCAGCTAACTTCAGTTATTTGATACTCCATTGTAATGTCATTGGGATCTTTTGTTCCGTGGATCTCAATACTCAGCCCTTGATGATCTTTGCTTACCTACTCCGTACTCAAATAATATTTGCTACGACAATAGGAGTCTGAGGTGAGGTCATTGTTTGACTCGGCGCGCGGTTGGACTTGTTGAAGTCATGCAGCGGGTGTTCCTGGAACGGTTTTGAGGCTTGTTAGTGGCTGGGTGATGCAGGGGATATTAGCGGGTAGTGGGTAGTAACTTAAACAAAGAGGTCATTCATGTCACATGTATTGAACGCGATACAAGGGCAACGGGAATATCATACGCGAGTTGACCTTGAAACATGATTATTCAAACAATTATCATTGATGACCGGTCCTCACAATGGATTGTTCGCCACAATCCTCCTCCGTTCCGCGGAGCAACTCTAAATAGAACAGAGCACAGAATCACACACGGCCTGTGTCATTGCATCAGACCGATACAGCTCAGAGAGGCGGCGCAGGGCTGGGCGGATTCTTGGCAGTGAGGCAGAGGGAGAGAAGGGCAACGCCTGTAAGAAAATGGTGGCCCTTGGCTGATTGATGACTGAAGGAATTGAGAGACAAGCTTAACTATTACTCTTAAATATCTATACGAACCATAACCTTTTTTCTCTTGCTCTATTTCAATCAATACCCTTGGCTGAACGCAAAGCACGGATCAAGAAACCGTTGACGATACGGATACTGCCAATTAAACTGGCCACCCCACACTGAATCCTTTCCTTTCCTTTCTTCTACATACCTTATACCCATCACACTCGACCTCGTGTTTCTTGGTTTTTCTTTATTCCCTTTTCTTTTTCTTCATTTCTTCTTTTCGGGGCCAGTTTCTTCTTATTTGTATATCTCAATTTTTTATTCTTTCGCATTGATCCCATTTTGGACCACCCTTTCGCCGATTCGATCACCAATTCGATACAGCACAGCAGCAATTCTAATTGTTCGCTTCCATTCCTTCCGAAGCTGTGAATAGTTTCCGTATTCTTATCGCTCATTTATCTGCCCAGGCCGCTGCCATGGCCATTTCTTCGGGCCTCGCCCTTTTGCTGGCTGCTAGCGCCGCACTGAATCCCGTCGCTGCTGCACCTTCGAGTAAGTCGACACTCATCGCGAGCGTGCGTATTGCTTCACAACTGTCTTTGAGCGCATGGAAGCTGGTGTGGCGTGATCGCATGCATTTTCTTACCCAGATCTCTGGGTCGGGGATCGGAGCTAACGTGATCCAATCGCAGTCGACGATGCTTTTGTCGCCATCTCCAATTCAGATTTCTCTCCCCGATCAGTATCAAAACGAGGCACGCCTCAAGCCCCCGATGGCTACGTCCCCTCCAAAGTCGATTGTCCGAGCACACGACCGACGATTCGAAATGGCTCTTCCATCTCGAGCATGGAGCGCGATTGGATCCCGAAGCGTCGTAACGAAACCATCTCCCCTATCCGAACCCTCTTGAAGCGTCTAGCGATTCCCGGTTTCGACAGCGAAGAGTATCTCAAGGATGCTGAGACGGATCCTACTGCGCTTCCAAATATTGGTATTGCTATCTCTGGAGGTGGCTATCGTGCTATGCTTTGCGGTGCTGGTGCGCTGGCAGCTTGGGATATTCGTTCCGATGGAAGCGACAAGGATGGAAATCTCGGTGGTCTTCTACAAAGTGCGACATATCTTTCAGGTCTTTCCGGTGGTGGATGGCTTGTGGGCAGTTTGATGATGAACAACTTTACATCTGTCCAGGAAAGCGTAAACTACCCCGGAATTTGGCAGCTGGAGAATTCGATCCTCGAGGGCCCTGAGAATTACTCTCTTCTCCAGTATTACAACACGATTTTTGACGCCGTTTCCGATAAGAAGGATGCCGGTTATGAACGATCTCTTACTGATTACTGGGGCCGCATGCTGTCGTACCAACTTATTAATGCTACGGATGGTGGTCCTGCATATACATGGTCTTCCATCGCAGACGATCCTGACTTCTCTGAGGGCAAGGCTCCTATGCCCATCATCGTTGCGGATGGCCGTGCGCCCAACGAAACCATTATCAGTCTCAACGCGACCAATTTCGAGTTCACTCCCTGGGAGCTTGGTTCCTACGATCCCGTTCTTCAGGGCTTCGTTCCTCTCAAGTACGTCGGTTCAGAGTTCGATAACGGCAAGCTACCCAAGGACAAGTCCTGCATTGCTGGTTTCGACAACGCCGGTTTCGTCATGGGAACTTCTAGCAGTCTCTTCAACCAGATCGTTCTGTATCTTAACGAAGATGGCAACAACTACGTCCCCGATGGTGTTCCCGATATCGCTGTTGAAGCTGTGTCATCTGTTCTCAAAGCTATTGGCTCTGACAACAACGACATTGCTGACTGGACTCCTAACCCCTTCAAGGGCTGGAACGACGAGAATAACCTGAGCGCTGAATCTGAGCGACTTACTCTCGTCGATGGTGGTGAAGACCTCCAGAATATTCCTTACTATCCTCACATCCGAAAAGATCGTGAGGTCGATGTCGTCTTCTCATTCGACTCCTCCGCCGACACCGACTACGGTTGGCCCGACGGAGCATCTCCCATCGCCACCTACGAGCGCTCTCTGACCAACATCTCAGAGGGCTCATCATTCCCCTCCGTCCCCGGCAAGAACACATTCCTCAACCTGGGCCTCAACACCCGCCCAACCTTCTTCGGCTGCAACGCAACCAACATGACCGACCCCTCACCCCTCATCGTCTATATCCCCAACTACCCCTACGTCTACTCCTCCAACATCTCCACCTTCCAGATGAGCATCAACACCTCCGAGCTCTCCGCCATCATCGAGAACGGCTACGCTGTAGCTACTATGCTTAACGGCACGCGCGACAAGGACTGGCCCGTCTGCGTTGGCTGCGCAATGCTCTCGAGAAGTTTCGACCGTACAAACACCACTGTTCCTGATAAGTGTCAGGAATGCTTCACGAATTATTGCTGGAACGGAACTCTTGATGAGAGAGAGCCCAACGAGTATAACCCTACTTTCATCGGCGAGCAGATCGAGGTAGAAAGCTCAGCGTCAAAGACCAGCAGCGCTTTTATCGCTATTGCAGCTATTGCAGGATTTATGCTCACCATTTGAAATGAATGGAAAGTGGAAGAAAAGATGATATATATATTTGCTTATTGGAGTAACGCATTGGAGTTTTGTTCTATCTGAAGCGCCGTGATCTTGAGGACATGGATTCATGAGGAAGTTTATATAGGGGTTGGATAGATGATGAGTCGGAGACTCGTCTTATTATTTACTCGGAATTCTCCATATTGATACGATCTTATGAAGTTTGTCGTGATGTCAAGCTCATTCGGTATCATGCTTGCGATTTTTAGGCACAACGATATGAGGACCTTTTCGAATAGACCTCACTTTTTTATTCAAGCTCTTTGAGAACAGTCAGCAAAGTCGCTCCGGATAAACTACGCACAAGATATATAACTCTTGTCTGCTCCCTCATTCCATGCTATCTAGATAATTACTGTTTCGCCCTTGATCCGATCGCAAGCTTTTACAGTGCAGGGCGGTTCACACGACAATTTCACAGGGCACTCACACATGCTCAGAATCATCAGTTTTGCCAATCCGTAACTTTTCCTTCATTAAATCATTACATATCCCTAAATACTCTAAGCAAAAGTGACATCCTTGCCTGTCTTGGCACTCTCAAAAACACCCTCAATAATCTGCAAAACATCCCTCGCCTCAGTTGCCTTCACAGGAACATCTTCCTCCTTTCCACTCTCAATAGCCTTACCGAGCTGAGCATAGAAAGCCTTGTAAGTAGGTGTCTCAATAGATGAAATAGTCTGCTCCTTAGCCTTCTCATTATCATCAACGACAACCAACTTATACCGAGCTAGATCTTCCTTTCCAAAGTCCGCATCAGTGGCTTTCGCGCCAGCCTTGAGCGCATCTTCTTGTGTGTCGAGACCGAGCTTGCGGAAACTTCCCTTTGTACCACGGACCCAGAAGCGAGGCTGCTCGAGTTCAGCACTGAGAACGCTGATGCGGATGTTGACGAGGAGACCGTCGGGGTAGGTTAACTCTGCTGAAACACCGTCTGGGTTCTCAAAGTCGAACTTGCCCTCGCGTTGAGAGAGGAGACGGCCGTGGACGGACTGGGGCTTGCCGAAGAGAACGTAAGCTTGATCAATGAGATGAGTTCCCAGGTCGTAAAGAGCACTTCCGCCTTGGGAAAGGGGGAGGTCTAGCTTCCAGTTCTTTGAGGGCACAAGACGATAACGATCAAAGTGGTTATCGAACTGAATGATGCGACCAAGTGTTCCCTCGGAGATAATCTTCTTGAGGGTAACAAAGTCAGCATCCCATCGTCTGTTCTGATAAACAATAAGAAGCTTTCCGTTCTTCTTGGCAATCTCAATAAGCTTATCAGCCTCAGCAGAAGTAGGAACAAAAGGCTTCTCAGTCAAGACATGCTTTCCAGATTCGAGAGCAGCCTTTGTGAGCTCAAAGTGGTTGTTGGGGGAGTGCTGATGACTACAAGATCGACTGCAGAGTCGGCGAAGAGATCTTTGTAGTCTGTGTAGTGCTTGATATCAGGATAGTCAGCGGGCGCTGAGTTACCCTCTTTGGGAGATCGTTGGACGATTGCGTGGAGTTTGAATTGGGGAGTTTGAGTGAGGAAGGGGATGTGAAAGATTTTGGCAGACATGCTGGTATTGTCAGCTGATGATATCACGGCGAGGTTGATGGAACTTACCCATATCCCACGACACCAACGTTGAATGTCTTTCCGCTCATATTGACTGACTGTATTTGACTTGTTGTTTTATTTCTGCTCTGAACAATACTTTAACAAGGGATACTGTTGAGCTTTATAAGTTATGAGGGAAGTTCTCGCCATTTCTCCAAGAGCCTCCACAAGATGATTCCGTCATGGTGCGGAGTCGTTCCCCACGGATGCTTCGCCATTCTTGGAGACTCCGGATGAGCTGAGCGCCACGATTGGTCCCATCACGGTAGAATACAGTGGATTTGGCCGAAATATCGGGGATGTAGTGAAGGTCCAAGCGAGAAAGTGTGGTTTTCTTAGTCAGTGGCTCAGTCTTTTATATTTATTGACAGATGTTTACAAGATGAGAGAATTTGTAATCTGAAATGGCGTTATGACTCTACTCTTGTTGAAGAGATTTCGTGATGATGCGGAGTGTCCGTTTTAGGCAATGTGTTCACGCATGGGGTATTGTAGGATGACTAGAAATGCGGGCATCTTATCATGATAAGACCGGGCACTGATAAAGCGGTTGAAATAGACGCCGAAGATTACGGACCCGTTTCTCATGATATAGCTCCGTGCCGGACTCGACATTTCTGCGTCTCGCGTCCCGATGTGGATACCCGGACAACGCTCCAAAGTCCGGCCAACAACCGAACCGCGAAGTCCAAAAACACCATATTATAAAAAGTCACAATATATCAATTAAAATAGATAATCAATTCATCAAGCGATTAAATAAAAGCAATGGCATTCAACAAAGTCTCACAATTTACCATCTTTCGCGGCCCTGGAAAGCCAACCGCTTTTACATGGTCCCCCTTCGTCATTAAACTCGAAGCTCGTCTTCGCTTCGCCGGTGTGTCCTACAGGGTAGCCGAAGGATCACCAAAAACTGCACCGCGAGGAAAGATTCCTTATGTTGAGGTTGAGGGAGAGAGTTTAAGCGATTCGACGTTTATCATTAAGCGCTTTATCGACGAGTGTCTTATTCCTGATCTCAATGCAAGCTTGACGCCTGTTCAAAAAGCACAAGATCTTGCATTTAGAGCTCTTATGGAAGAAAAGGTTTACTTTTATGGTACACGTGAGAAATGGTGCGATAATTATTACACCATGCGCTCCAACATTTTTGCTTCCATGCCTTGGCCTCTGCAAGTTGTCATAGGATATCTCGCTGCTCGAGCCAACGCGAGAACTGCGTATGGACAAGGAACGGGTCGTTTGACGGACGATGAAGTCACAGGGTTGAGAGAGGAAGTCTGGGAGAGTGTTGAAGCTTTATTAGCGGAGGCGAGGATGCGACACAGTGGAGATGGGCCGTTTTGGGCTCTTGGCGGTGATGAACCTACAGAGGTTGATGCGACAATCTTTGGGTTTATTGCTTCGTCGTTAATTTGTGAAGCGTGAGTTGCTCTGTTGACGAGTTTGGGTCCATGCTAATGGTTTCTTAGAGCTCCGACTTCTGCGGCTATCATGAGGAAGCATTCGAGTTTGATGGAGTATGCGGGGACGATTCATGAGAGGTATTTTCCTGACTATGAGCGATGGGAGTGAGAGTTAGATGTTCGATTGGTGCTGTGGGCATTGTGAAGAGTTGCATAGCTGGAGGCATAGACAACATAGATCACTTGGTGTTTAGCATAGATCATTGCGGATAGATTCCAACCAGATTCATACCAACTCAGTAATTGGAGTGCCTGCCAACAATTCTGATCATGAGTTCCTGCATGAAATCTCCAACACCGTCAGCCAAGTGATCCAATCCTACCTTGCGTCACAGCATGTTTCATCCCCATATTCTCGATATCAAGGCGCCTCCAAATTCGACGTCAGATTATGTTTCCATGAAACCAATCCTCAGTAATATACTTGGAAAGGTTGAAATGACGTTGTCCAAGTTTTTTTGAGCTCTTTTTACGCCAAGATGCAGGGGTTCGGGGGTGATTGGTGGTAAATACCCTCTAGCGAATCAAGGAAGACGGGAACTCCCCGTGCATGTTGGTGATACTCTCAGGAACTGTCAAGTCGACAACTTCAGCGTGACAGAGGCAAGTTCATATGCTTCAATTGATCGTCAGCCTCGGTATACGAAACTCTTTAAGCTCCAAGTTATAACTCAGCCTTCTCCTTACAGTTATTAACGGAGATTCGCCGTGTCTCAGATTACCATCCAAGGCAGACCAACCAACACGACATATATAGAGTGTGGCATGCAAACCCGAGCTGAGATGGTTGCATACAGCTATTTTAATCGCTGCAAAAACCTCGTCTGCCCCTGGAAAACTCACTGACTACGCCGCACAACCGCTCGGCGGAGGGTGTGGTGTCGGTCGTCACCGTCGTCTCATGGTGCAGGAGGTGGGCATATAGTTGACGACGCATAAGTACATTATGAAGATTGAGATCTCTTGTGCTACATAAATTATTCACGCCTCATAAGTTCAGCTTATGTTTAATCAGATCTGAATCTCATGATTTTTAATGGGAAATGCTACCGCAACGGTTCGTCTTTCATGCATGTCGCCAAGTCGGCAACGGCGGATATTGTCCACATTTTTTACGATCAGACCATTCGATTCTTCCCGCGTAAGAGATCCGCTAACAGTTCTTCTCCAGACTCTTGCTCAGCTCCTCCTGTGCCTACTGTCATACATAATCCACCTAATTATTACTCCTGTGCTGCAGAGCCTGCTAGAAAATTCGGACACTCCCGATGCACACGCATGTGAGCCTCGGCGTGGCGGTCGAAAAGAGCGGTTAATTCGAGCGCATTTGTCCAGTGTAGGAAGGCAGTTGGTCAAGATCCCTGCAAGTCTGACAGGGTCCCCTTTTATTCCCGGCTACAGGGGTGTGGTGTGAGTGTGGGTGGTGTAGAGTGTGAGATGCGGGGGAGTTTGGGACACCGTGCACTACAGAGTAAGTAAGTGAAGAGTGAAGAGAGGAAGAGAAATCAGGCATTGACATTGGAGAGTTGGCCAAAGACAGAGGAACTAGCGGTCAATTCTTGTCTGGTAGTAAGCCATAACATGTCAAAATGTTATAGTTATGGTTGTTGATAAGTAATAGCAGTCAATTGACCTACCATCAACTCTAGTCGTAACTGTCAACCATTAGCATCTTTTGTTCCTGCATCATTGGCGTCCCATCCCCAAGTTTTTTTGCTTGCAATGGTTGCCTCATCGTCAAACCTGTTTTCTTTGCCTCTCTTTTCCTCTTTTAGTCGTCCTCTTCCTCTTCGGCTTTGCCGCTCAAGTCGGGCCTAGTTCCAAGTTCCCCATCAATCGGCCCTCGGATACCCTTGCTGTTCAGCATGTGACTTGGCCAAGTTCAAGTTCAAAGTCCCCGTTGAAGGATTCTTTTAATGGCCACGCCAATCAACTTTTGCAATTGTCAAGCATTGATCCATTGAAGCTTTTTACCCCGGAGATCGTAATAATAAATCTTAATGGCAAAAAAGGGGAGCATTGTCCAATATCCGGGGGTGGATCGGAATCTCCAGATTTTTTTGCTTCCACTGAACTAGACAGTTCGTCCATGTTCTTTTTCGAGCTCAATCTCCGAAAAGTTCATTCTTTGCTGAAATCTCTCAGACTTGCAACTTCACATGCCCCAAGCGCTAGACCCATCTCCGCATCTCGCCCCCGGAGTTTGGCATCACCCCTCGTCGATCTATTCGGCCGTGTGTATCGAATCCGGAAGCCCGCCCCGCTCTCACGACGGCATACCAAAGGCTCATGCACGCCCTCAGTTACCATAGCAAGAATAGAAACCCATGGCTCTTTTGCCTAGCACCCCCTCCTAGTAAGAGTTCCCTGTCCTGCTTCAACCTCTCATTCGTCCACTTCAGCTCCGGCTCGTCGCAGCGTAACCCGACCCCCCCGAGTCCACCCACACTAGACTCCAGAAAGACGAGGATCAGAAACAAGAACAAGAAGTTGACCTGCAAGTCTGCAGGAAAAGAGGCTGGTCTTCCCTGTAATGGTTAACGGGCAACGGCACCGTGACGCTCTAACCAAGTTGAGTTGACTTGTTGATTCCCTTTCCACCTTCAGATACATAAAGCCTCTTCTCATCCATCTCTCAAGCTTCTTCTTTCTTTTCCTCCTCATCCACTCGCTTCCATTGGACCAATTCAGCATCAGCTCAGCCTTGCCTCATCACACTCGTTGTGTCTTCTCGCATATCAACAAGTTTATCTCAACTTAAGACAACCAAAAACAATCTTCAAGATGAAGTACTCTTTCGCTATTGCTGCCCTCGCCGCCGCCGTCTCGGCTCAGTCCCTCGGCGACGTTCCCAAGTGCGCTATTCCTTGCCTTGACGATGCTATCGCCAGCAAGACCAAGTGTGACAAGACCGATCTCACCTGTGTCTGCAAGAACTTCGACGATGTCCGAAGCGCCGCTACCTCTTGTGTGATCACCAAGTGTGGTTCCGACGTTGCCATCAGTAAGTTCTAAACTCTCCATACTTGATAGACTATCACATACTGACTCGCCTTAGACGAGGTTCTCCCTGCTACTGAGAAGCTCTGCGACAACCCTGCTGCTGGCAGCGGCTCCGAGGAGTCCTCCAAGGCTGACACCACCAAGGTCGAGACCTCCACCAAGGTCGTCATCACCACCAGCGCCGTTGCCGTCGAGACCACTGCCGTTGAGACCACTGCCGCCGAGGCCACCACTGTCCCTCCTGTCGTTGAGAGCAAGACCACCGCTGTTCCCCCCGTCATCGAGACTCCCACCACCAAGTCCGAGGCTGCCGGCAGTGCCACCAGCACTCCCGCTCCCTCAGGCGTTGGCGAGAACAGCGCTGCTGGCCTCAAGGGTCTCGGTGCCATGGCCATGGCTGCCCTCATGGCCCTTGCTCTGTAAATGGAGTCAATTATGAGCGCCAATTTCCTCATTGTGAAAAAACTTCTCAGTTACACGTGAGATGAGAGGCATTGTTACGAGTTGAAAGGAAAGTGATGAGGAGGAATGGGATATGTGTACATGGGAATTGGATTCGAATTTGTGATTGGAATCACGGGTTAATAATTAATGGTCTTGAACCACCAGAATATAGCAAATATACCAGTGACACTTGTCTCATTTCTCTGCCTTCATTGATCGTGAATCGAAAGCTATGAATCAACAAAATGAGATAGTCAGAATCATACCACCAAAATCATGATCTAAACCCCCATCATCCGAGTAAACACTCACCTTGTAGAAGTAGTCCAAGCAAAAAACATGACTAGTCATCTCCAAGTAAAGTGGTCGACGTCTGTCGCCGTTTCTGGCAGCACCGGGGCCCAAAAACCTTACGCGGCCTCATGCGGGGAGTGCAGCAAGCGATGTCACGCCGTAAATAGACAAGGCCAACCATTATGTGGCTGGAAATATAGTTTCGATCGAGATCCAATGGAAAACATTTCTATTATGCATAAGTTTCGTGGCAAACTTGTCTAGTCTTTGGAGTCAGCTTCGTGATGTTCAGTTATGGGCCAATGCTCACTGTACACGTCTATTATTGTTTGTCAAAGGCCTTGAACAAAGACCGAGGTCTCGTATTCTTGACCCGAGTTTGTTTCACTTCGTTTCACTTCTTGGCTGCTTCGATCTCTTCGACCCAGCCGGAAACCCTCCTCGCAACTTCCAAGCTCGCATCTGAACACATTAGCAACCGCCATAAACGTTCCAATCATCAACTTACCCTCTCTCGTGCAAAAAGCGTGAGGAATATCTCCTTCATCCTGCACAATCCTCGCTTTATCTCCTCTCTTCTCTATAATGCCCTTCCTCTCAGCATCGTGAATCCAATGGTCTTTCTTGGCATAGAACAAAAAGAACTTTGGTACTCCATTCTCCTCTCCTGTCGTATCCCATAGATCATCGTTCCATTTCTCCTCAGTTATCATCTCCAGCTCCGTCAAGCCAAGATGAACTGCCTGCAACACGCCATCTCTGCTCTTCAGCCATCGTGCAGTGATGTCTGCGCTCGCGGGCGTGAAGCCCAGAAGACGTTGAACAACCCACGTCACGCTTGCGACACTTAAGAGGCCGAGGAGAAGACGTGCAAGTAAACAAGCTGCGGTGTCGAGGAAGGGAATGAAACGACGCAACAACTCGAACTGTACACCGTTGGACGACCGAGCGAGGTGCGTAAGCGTCGGACATATCAAAAATCCATGTCGAAGATTCAGATGCGGCGCTCGCTCCGGATTCTTCATATGGCGATGAAAGATCTCAACAGTGATGAATGACCCAACAGAATGGCCCATGAGAATCACAAAGTCGTAACCTTTTCCTTTAGCAGCAACGATATCATACATACCCTCAATCTGGCCCTCCAGATCCCAAGGTTTGTTTTTTGAACTGAATGGCTCATGGTCATCGTCGCTGAAGCCAAGCAAATTTGTGCCGTAGATATCATAAGCAGTGTCTGTCTCGATCTTGTCCAAAAGGCCGCGAACATGACTGAGGAAGTCGGTGTAGTATTCGATGAGGCCTGGGTTACCACAGATGTAGTGAATGATGGCTTTCTGTTGAGCCCCTCTAGAGCGCTCTGAGGGCAGCCATATTTGGGGCGCCATTGTATGTTGCTGAGTTTGGTGAGTGTTAAGGTGAAGCTGTGACAATAGAGATAAGGGATGATGGAATCCAGTGGCGGAGTTTTCGACTAACCCGAGCTACCCGGTAGCCAGATAACAAAACTTAACAACTACATAAACATCCACATGGTTGGACTGAATGATGTCGTTTGTGCAATTACGCATAACATATCTATCGATATAACTTATCGTTTAGTAATTAGCACTAAGTTGGACGTCAAATACTGCATTTATCGAGACATTACACCAAATCTCACACGGACAGCTCTTAGATCATTAAGCATATTCGACAGTCATGTTCGTTACGGCACTCAGGTTACTCAATCATTAAACAATAGGCCAAGCCAAACCAATGCATCAAATCAGTCCCAAACTCCAACCCATGGCTAGCACCATGCCTTGAAACTGCACTCAGGAGCCACTCTAGAAATGCTTCAGCCAAATCTCGCAGGTTCCGACCATGCTCGTGTACTATCACTCTATCCTCACTCAAACTTTATGGGTCTTGCGTACTTCTACAAGCCCAACATTCTTCTTGGTGACTGCCGCCCAAGTCGGCATGAACTTGAGAAGCTCGTCAAGAGCAGGGATTGTTCCAGGCGTGTTGGCATCACTGTAAGCACAACTGACCGTGACTTCAAGACGATCAGCTGTCTGTTCCGCTGACCGCACTCTCAATTCGTGGTCTCTCTTTGACTCGATTTCCTCCTGATCCTCCTCATCTGGTGCGGAAAGAGCATTTCGCTCATTCAAGTACAAGTTCAATGTCCAGGGTCGATCTCGATCGCGGCGCCAGAGCTGGACGCTGCTGAAACCCTCTGAAGGGAACTTCCCAAAACGAGGATCTCGTGGACCTGCACCATCCACGGCGAATCCATAGATGGGTCGTGATGTGCGAACATAGCAAAGCCTCGTGTCAATGGCATCAATTCGAAGTCGTGCCTTCGTTCCATCGCTGCCATATATCGTCTCAACTGAAATCAAATCATCAGGAGTCTTATTCCTGTACAGCCTGGGTGTCAACGACGAGGCATCATATTGGCAATCTGCTAGATCTCGTCCAACAGCTGGCTGACACTTGATCTCCTGGCCCAAAGTGCTCGGTAGGGTGCTGATGACAGATCGCGCATATTCCTCAAGTCCTACGATGGAGACCGTGTTGGTACTGTTGTCCAAGTCGATGACTTGTTGGAAGTAAAACTTGAAACGGTTACTATCGGAAAACGGGAATGCGACCAGGTTGTAGATGAAGGTTCCAGCGAAAACACAGAAGAGGAACAGCGGAATATGGTGAGTGACACGGTGGATGAAAGGCGTGAGCGGGAGCAACAAGAAGATGCTCAAAATGCCCAACGACAGGACGGGAACAAGGAGGCTACCCCCGTCAGCACCTGTCATCTGGGTAGCAGACATCACAACCAGGCCAATGTTTCCAAACAGGATCACAGGTATGGGAGTCAGAAAAAGGAACTGGAGAATCCAAGTCCACGTAGGAAGGCGCCCAGACCAACTCTGCTCATGCTCGAAAGGCTGGTATCGTCGCATACTAGGCGGAGAGGGTGAGTTTTCGGCAACCGAACGTCGATACGTGTTGGCAAACGAGGTCGGGGCATTGGAGCCATATCCTGATTCACCGGCTCTAAGCGGCGTAGTCTCGGTAGCATCCTCAGATTCGTCCTCGTCATCCTCTGCCTCAGCATGAGCATGTTCACCCTCTGCCTGAGGTCTCGATTCATGCTCATTATCGCGGCTAGAAACATCACGCGCCTGATGCGCGTCGTGAAGCTGCATGGCAAAGTCGTGCTTTCCAAGCAACGCGAATTGCTCCAAAAGAGAAATGAGCAGGGCAAGGAAAATGGCCGATTGGAAGAACACAGTGGCATAAAGGGCACCAATGTGCATACGGTCCTCTGCCACAGCACACACAACTTGTACACCCCAACCAAGGGCAAAGAGCCACATCAGAACAAAGCCTCGATGAAGTGCACTGGGGCGAACAAAGCTGGATCCACGCATGATGAGCCAAAACGAGAAGTAAAAGATGGAAAGAGTCATAGACCACCTGAAAGATATTAGCTTGTGAGTTCTCCATCGCAAAAGCCACTTACACGGCGTATCCGCTACTGTAAATAATCAGAGGATTGAACTTAGCAATCAGAAGAGTAGATGCAATAGTTAGTGCTCCAGCAAAAGCGAGGGCGAATGGAAAGCGGAAGAACCCCTTCCAGCCACCCAGCACAACTGGGTCATCGTTAATGTCGTGATGCATCTTGATGTCTCTAGCAAAGAAGTAGTATTTATCCTTGCGTGCCAGGATGTACGTAAAGGCAATTAAGATTAGTGGCGTGGCGACAAGAAGCGTCAGAGACCATGCAAAGAGCCCTCTAAGCGCGAACACGACCCAAGCAGCACCAAAGATATCGAACCAGACACCCTCGGCTTGCTTGCCGTTCTGAACGAGATCAGAGTTGCCATCGGAACGATCACCGTTGAAGATGGTGCCAGTCGTCTTCGACAGGTGCTCAGTCGATGCGAGAGCAGCCGAGAGCATGTGCCAGATGCTGTTAACAGATGTGTGCCGTGTATCGTCCTGGTTGGTATGGTACCGAGCGCGAGGCTCATAGAAAGCAATGTCAAGTCCTCGCTGTCCGAAGATATCTGCAAAGATCTCGTAATCGGTCGCGCTCTTGATTACACCTCTCTCGAAAGCATTGGCAGCAACAACGGATCCCAGCGGATGGGGGCTCTTGGAGTAGGCCTTTGCAGCCTGCAAGTCAGTGGTACGGAAGAGCAGCGCACGGCCTCCAGCTCCAGCGCCTTCGAGGTTGACGAACGTGTGAGTAAAATGCAACAAGGGACTGTAGCCGAAGGCTCTGGCGCCAAGCAGTCCATCCTCTTCGGCGTTGTTGAAGAGCAGAACGATGCCGTTCTTGGGTTGACGTCCTTTGAGTGTGAAGTAGCTCAAGAGCTGGAGCATCGACACGCAGGACATACCATCGTCGGTGGCACCATAACCAGTGGAAACGCTGAAACATTGTCAGTTGAAGAAACGCGACATCTTGTTTATCACATACGAATCAAAGTGGCAGTTGACAAGAACACCGCCTTGGCCACGGAACTTCTTGTACTTGGATTCATCACGCCACCATTCACCCTCGGGATCGTCTTTGCCGTGGATGTAGACATAGTAGTTGTTGCCTTCAAAGTACTGTCCCAACCATGTTCCCTTGGAAATGTTAGAGCCCATGCGTCGAGCAGTGTTGTAAGTCCAGGAAACGTTGGAAGTTCTGTCATCGAAGAGCGTTGCTCCACGAGGTTTAGCTTCAGCTGTTACAAGCGAATCATGAATCTCCATAGCAGATGTTCTACTCATGTTAATGATGTGCGTATGAGAGTGCGACAGAGACTGACCTCGAGTGCCATTCTACACCACCAATCTTTTCGGTAGTATAGGACATATCATTGCGATCGAGAATCTCCTTGGTACGGTTAATGAGAAACTCGCGTACTCGGTCATTTTCGTGACTGTTGTAGGGATGATAGGCGCGAGTGATGGTTTGTAAATCGAGCCATGCCTCGGTCAAGTTGAGACCCTGATACAGCGACCGATCAGCCGGAGCTGAAGGAACAGTTTCGTGAACCCAAATGAGAGGAATGAACAGAGCGAGATATATAACAGTCGTCCAGAACGACACAGGCCCTGGCCGGAAGGCAAGAGGATTCTTAGCCCTCATGATGAGATGATGATTTGGTTTGAATTGGAGCTGAGGTAATCCCAGGTGACGCGCCCACGTCAGTGCGTCGCGAAAGAGAATAAAGCCTAGGTAAAAAGTATATGACGATTAAAGTTGTAGGATCATGATCAGGTTTCGAGTCAGCGCGTGGTAGTGCAAAGGCTGAGAATCACGAAGAAAGGAGCCAAGAAGATGAAAGATAAGACAAGACAGTTGAGGGAGAGTACGAGATGGAAGAGGGATCTAGATCAGATGACTCCCCGTCATGGAAATGAAACAAGAAGGCACTGCACAAGACACCTCAAGAACGCGACTTCCTCTGCGCGTCGTAGTCACCTCACTCAAGTGCACCAAAACTGGAAATATCGTCGAGCACTAAAACGAGATGAAGTTTGTAGAACTTGATGAGCCAAGGTGAGGCAACTGCTGCTGATTGCGTTGCTTCCATTCCCTTGTCACATGGCCCAAGCTCCCTGTTCCGGGAGGTAAAAAGATACGTACAATGACGCCAGAACCACTGCAATGCGGGGTCTACGCATGTATGAGCTGCATTAAAATAGTTTACGTGCATAAACAGGGCATTTCACAATTGGAGACTTCTTCAACAAGGTCACAGTAACAGGAGACACAGATCATAACTAAAACGACTCAATTATCAAGTACAATTTGCCTACGCGATTAGTTCCATGCTTTTAATGAATTCTCTTGCAATAAACAAGCTAAACATCAAAGCTCGTTGATATAAAGCAGTAAAACGCAGTGTCGTATTGCATTCAGTGGTTAGTTCGCTGCCACGTTAGAAACGATCGCTTATCCTCCGTTGTCGGTATTCGGTTATAGAACGATTCTTATAAACTATAGTCGAGGTTTAAAGCTGTGTCAGAAAGCCTCTCAGAACCAAAGAGCTTCGTTAGTCTGCTCATTTAGGCGCCGGGAGGTGGAGGAGGCGGAGGTTGATCACTGGGAGGTGGTGGCGGGGCGTCTCCAGAAGGCGGAGGAGGGGGAGGTGCAGCTCCGGCATACTGCTGAATGAAGGCGTTAATGTCTCCAAGGCCTGGGGGAGCACCAGGAGGAGGAGGAGGAGCATTGCCAGGAGCACCAAGACCAGGAGGAGCACCCATTCCGGGGGCAGCACCGTAAGCACCATATCCAGGATAACCAGCATACCCACCCTGAGTTCCAGGAGCCTGTTGCGCCCATGGAGCAGCGGCACCTGAGGCACCTGCGTAAGCTTGACCGTAGTAGCTATCACCACCGTTACCGCCGTGATGATCTTCGTTGCGACCACCGCGATCTTTAGCCCAGGGAGCTGCCGATCCACCTTCGTTAGAATCCTGGTTGCGACTGCGCCATGGTGCAGGACCACCAGTTGGACCTCGTTGCCAAGGCTTCGCGTCTCCGTTCTGAGCGCCAGGGCCGGCCTCGATACGCGCAGGAGCTCCAGAAGACCCTCCACCAAGCTCTTGCATGAGTTGCTAATGTCTGTTAGTATTGTATAAGTAGGAGAAACAGTGGTTTTCTTACCTCGTATTCACGGTCAACATCATCTCCGCCACCGATACGACCAGCAGGGCGAGCACCAGCATCGTTGTTGCGCCAGCTAGCACCACGCTGTCGGTCGGGACAATCGCGAGCCATATGGCCAGCGTTGCCACAGACGCGACAGATAATACTAGCAGTGTAGTTTTGTTTCTCAGGGCAGTCGTACTTGCGGTGGCCGATCTTGCCACAGTTCTGGCAAGCCTGGTTCTCGTCGTCTCGGAGGGTACCGTTGAGCGCAGCGAGTTCTCGGAGCTGGTTTCGCTTGAGTTCGTTCTGGCCTTCAGGAATGGACGCAGCCTGGGTAGTATTAGTATAGAACTTGTAGGGCTTCAGAGGCGACTTACAGTCTCAATGACGTTGTGAATGAGCTTCTTGGCCTTGTTGACCTTCTCTTCGGTATCGGCCATGATGAGACAGTGCAGATCTTCTTCCTGGTTGCTTGCGTGCGCGGCATCAGACCGACCCTTACCCTCCTTTACGGAGCCCTTGCCACGAATGGCGATCTTGGCACCTGAGTCTCCCTCCATTTTCTTCAGAGTGTTACCTCGAGGTCCGATAAGTAAACCAACTTTAGTACGAGAGAGCTAGTATTAGTGTCTGATTCGCAAAGATTAGATGAACGTGTAAGGGTTAGTCCATTCGATGAAGGACCAGGCCTCAAAACACCACCGAGGGTGTGATGGTGAGTCTGATCAAACTCCAAAAGGAAAACAAAAACAGGGGATAATTTTGGTAAGTAGGGTTAAAGGGTTAGCAATCATACTGAAGTTAATTTCCGGATAATCGTTAACAGGAACATAGACCTTCTCCTGAGTCTTAGTAGGTCTACGATAGTCCTGTGGCGGGTGGTAGTTAGGAATGGTCTTCATGGCCTTCTCGATGAGCTTGTGGCGCTCATCTTCAAGTCGCTTTCGGTATCGATACTCTCGGGTGTTGATACGTCGACCGTGGTTGTCGTACTGAGGAGCAGGAGAAGGCGATCTGTCATGAGTTAGCAGTGAAGGAGATTATCAAGAAAGAAAAACTTACCGATCGCCGTCAGCTGGGACGACATCGTCGATGCGAAGCTTCTGAGAGATTTCCTCGATACGCAAATGCAGCGTGTAGGCCTCAAGCTGTTCACTTGTCATGTTGGACAAGATAGCAGTGGGCAAGCCCATGAGGCCAGCCGCCTTGTTCTCGGATGCATCACCCCATCGGTTTCGCTTCTTTCGTCGTCGGGGTCCATCAGCTTCGCCGCGAGGCTCGGGATCGCGTCCACGCTTCAAGTCGCGATCGACTCCAGCGTCGCCATTAAACTCCTCCTCATCATCTCCAAAGCGACGCTTCCCAAGGGGGATGTTGTTGGAACCAGTGATTCCTTGGCTTCTCCACGACATTTTCGAGCGATACGCGATCAAATGTTTGATACGCTGAAGAAAAGGTGTATGATGGTCCAGAAAAGAGCTGGACTTTCGTTGTGGGTGTCGAAAGTTCAAATTGGGTGCCTTGGTGCTTTCAAATGATCTGGGGCGATTTGACGGGTCGGTGAAACACTCAGCCGGATATCCACGTGACTTACCTTAATGAAGACAAGACCAGCGCTGTCACCGAAGGAAACGAAGGGGTCTATATACTAGTGAAAATTTAAAGTAAGTTGTCTTCTGGGAACAGGTATAATAATGGCATTTTGCCACGGGTTTATTGGATATTAGGTATATAGTTTATGCTCCTTGAAGAAGTGTAAAATATGGTTTTAGTTTCGACAGGTTGGCCTTGATCTCTCTCATTGAGATATCAGCCAAGGTTATCTACCAAGTCACCGAGTCCTATAATCAGGGGCAGAAAAATCACAATCCGTGAAAGAAACAGTGTTGGAAAAGGGAACAGAAGATCGATCAAAGTCTATATCTAAATCCAACGACTTGCCAGTCCGTCACATCATCTGATTCAGGGTCTGAGGCATCTCCATGGCCCTGAACGTCCCCTCGTACAACGCCCCCTGAGCCAGCACTTCCGACGATTCCCTCTTCTCTTGTTCGTCTTTCATTCAGCCCTTTGAGATAGGCTCTTAAACATATAGCACAGACTGTAGCCAAGCTGTAGCAGATAGTGATAGCCTTGAAAGCAGTCTCGTATAGTGGGTCCTCAGACTTGAGGAAAAAGTGTGGCCCAGCCATGTTTCCAACACAATACGTGATGAACAGCATGGCTGTTATGGTCATTTTCTTGGTGACCCCTCTATAATTCGATTGTACGAGGGCCATGTTGAGAGGCATTGCTGCAGATCCACTCGAGAGGAGGAAGTAGGCAAAAAGATGGAAGCCGTGAGGCACATTGTCTCGTTTGTAGATGATTGCACTGCCAATGACACATGGCATAATAACACTGACGATCAAAAGGCAGTTTAGTGTGCGAAACCGGCCAGCCAAGTATCCGCTTCCTGATATGATACCTGCTGACAGAAGCGAGTAAGGTATGTTAATGAGTGTGGATTGCAGATTTGTGAAGCCGAAAGATTCGACCACAATATTCGCGAAGCTTTGTGATCCGCCGTTTGGAATCTGCGTGAGTAACTCGATACCCACGATGAACCAAGATTTGGGGTCAACCAAGCACTCGCGAACCTGATCCCATTTCCAATTCGTATGCTCAGTCGTACCAGTGCCGGAAGACACCACGCGCTGAGCCGCAATTTTTGTCTCCGTTGGTGTGAGGAAAGCAGCTTTAGAGATTGCATCCGGAAGAAAGAGAAACAAAGGTATTGCCCACAGAAAGGTCACGGTGCCCAAGATGATGTACATCCATCTCCAAGGTCGCATGGATGTTCCATCGACATGCCCAACTGCAAAGGCAAGCAAACTGGCTAACAAGCCACCAACAGAATTCCCAGAAAACCAGATTCCAACACGAGTCGGCATCTCATCCCGAGTATACCAAGTTGAAGTCAGGAACATGAAACCAGGCGTTATCGTGGCCTCTGCGACGCCCAGAAGAAACCGCATGACCAAAAGGCCGCCAAAGTTATGGCACGCCGCAGTGAATGCAACAACCAAGCCCCAAAATAGTGTGTTTATTGTGAGATATTTCCCGGTCGGAAAACGTGCAACGAGAACAGTTGTTGGGTATGTCCAGAGGAGATAGCCTAGGTAAAAGACACTGCCGACCCAGCTGTATTGCTGGCCTTTGAGATGCTGCAATCCTGTCAGTGGTGAAGGGCTGGGATCGAATGGTTGACGTACGGTATCCTCTCTTAGCCCAAAAACAGCGGCGCTGGATAGAATGACCTTGTCCATAAAATTCAGCATGTAGGTTATGAACAGTAATGGAATGATGGTTCTGTCAATCTTGGCCAATACCTTGTTTGCCGCTTCATCGTCGATCATGTTCCCTTGAGGCAACAAGGCACTATGAGTCGCAGAGGAATTTCTATGGCTATTTAAAAGCGGAAGATTTGGATTGTCGTCAACTTCATGCTCTGTGAAGCCGTCTGGTTGACCTTCAAGCGATGGTGAAGCATCTCTTCTGTCGGAAGTGTTGGTTGAATATGGGCCACTCATCTCTGCTCTTGCAGGCTGGAATGATAGCTGGAAAGAGACGCGCACCGCATCAATATGTTTTCATCGCTTCATTGGTATGATGCATATTTCATGCCCAGTTGTTCATGAGAAATGATGGCTGTTGAGGGAACACTAAGTTAAGTCGTGCTCCCAGATGACGGTCAGGTCGTGCGAATAGCTTCTTGATACTGTACTTAGCACGGCCGGGTGTAAGTTATGTGGCCGAAATTATAATCACTTCGCCGTGATGAGTCAATGCACGTAGATGTTTTTGAGAACTTAAGAAGAATAAAATTGTAGTATTCTTTCGATCAAAATCATGTCTTTGCCCAGATTTCTCATTGAAATGGCATAATAGTGAGATGTATTATCCTCTCACACAGGCCTCCTTCGAATCAACCTGGTGATGCATCCCTAGGCCTAGGAGTGATGCGTCTCATTTCATGGCTCTCGCTAGTGCCTGTCGAAAATACAGCCTCGTCTACCCGGTTCGTTTCCCGCGCTTCATTGACAATGCCCAAGTGTGCTTCCTGATGCTCTTTGCTGAGATGATGCGCTTTGATGAAGAAACCGAGCAACAATCCAACGCCCGAGAATGCGGTATACTATTGAAGATCAGTATGAAAGGAGAATTGAAAGTCGATTGATTTTTGTACCATTATCCACATCTTGTCGAGAGCATTGAAGAATGCCGTCCTTACGACAAGTTGTAACTCTGTGGGTAGCGTTTTGATCAGATCAACACTCGCAGACGCAGATGCCCCATCGAACAACCTGGCAAGTCCGGTACCAAGACTATCTTCGAGAATCCGATATTCGCCTTTCATTTCATTTTGGAAAAGAACCCCGCCAATGACAACAGATATTGCCGTGGCCATTGTTCGGATGAAGCTCATTGCTGTAGTCGCAGCCGCGACATCTTTGCGCGGCACAACAGTCTGAACAGCCAATAAGGGGCCTTCAAAGTTCATGCCAACCCCGATACCTGTCAGAATCTGGAAAGAGATCAATTTTGACCAGTTCATGTCAATGTCTAGGCTGATCGTCAAGCCCATTCCCAAGGTCATGATCATTAACCCAACACGGGAGACAAGAAGATACTTGCCACTGAACTGGATGTAAGCGCCAGTGATAGCAGCAGAGATTGAGATGGATAAAATGAATGGGAGAAGATACACACCCGAGCGAAGTGGGCTGGCTAGGAGAACTGCCTGAAAGTATAATGGTAGGTAATAGGCGACACCAAGAAACACAAATGCATGGAAGAATGTGACGGCGTATGCTGCAGAGGATGAACAGGTCTTGAAAAGGTGGACCGGTAGCACAGGATACTCTGCCAACTTCCATTCGTTCCAGATGAACAACACACCGGTGACGACACCAAAAACGATGAGAGAGACCACGGTCGCCGAGTTCCAAGGCTCGTACACGCCGCCAAGATAAAGACCGAGCAGCAACATCAAAGTTCCTCCTATGATGAGAAAGCTGCCGGCCCAGTCGATGGCTTTCAGACCTGCCCAGACAGGGGTATTGGGAGATGGGAGTTTGAGTGTGAAGACCAAGAGAACAAAGACTGCAGCGGTGATGGGTACTAGGGTTGTTAGTGACAACTCGAAACACCTTTGGTGGTGACTCACAATTGATCCAGAAACACCATCTCCAACTGGACACTGTTAGTACGAAGACCTTCCAACATATGCAATCTTACCTCAACCGATCCGTGAATGCGCCTCCAAGTACAGGACCAATCCCAGATGCAACGGCCCAGATAATCGATGTTAACCCATAGTATAGCCCGCGATCCCGTTGTGAGAACATATCGCTGATACAGATATTGACCAATGTCTGCATCCCAGCAGCACCCAATCCTTGGATCGCCCGCCCGGCGATAAAGATAGCCAGGTCATCAACCAGAGCACAAACAAGGCTACCGGCAAAGAATACAACATTGGCGATGAGTAATATAGGTTTCCTACCCCAGATGTCAGAGATTTTGCCCCACGATGGTGTCGAGGCAGTATGAGCGAGGACAAAAGATGTCCCTATCCAAGTGTAACCTGAGTCAGAGGCAAAATGGGCAGCGATGGTTGGAAGTGCGGTCGATACGATGGTCACTTCTAGGGCAGCGAGGAAGACACAGGCGCAGAGTGAGGACATCACTGTTGCGATCTGAAGATGAGTCTTCTTGGATTTGGTACTTTGGGTGCCGTGTTCATTGGAGCTTGAAGCGTCATGGTTGTTGCTCAAATTGGAAACCGGAGCTTCTCGAACAGGAGTCGCTTGATGGTGAATTTGGTATGCTTCTGAGTCTCTGTCGTTGATATGGATATCGTCAAGTTGTGTAATCGGCGTAGGTGGCGCCATGGAGGTTGTTTGTGACATGACCGTCGTGGAAGTCGGGCATTGCAGATTCTTGTTATGAGTAACGAGGAAGAGAAGAAGGGGTATTTATATAACAAAAAGCCCATAAAATGAGAGGATTGAATCCATCGTGACGTTAATGCTAGTGGTTCGTTTCCTGAAAGACCCTTGACCATGGTGTTGCTCCCAGTGGATCCTTGCCTGAATGCGATCGCATTCGAGGTTCCGCCAAGACGGGATAGTATCTGGGGTAAGCGCAATCCCACCACAAGGGTCCTCGGTGCTTCCCTTCATGTCTTCATCCCCACAACCTCAATCAATGCATCGCCGAACATTTAGATCTGACGAACTCATTATCATTAACACATCTTTTCCTCTTTGTTCTTCCGACCACGATGAACCTTAGCTACAACATCACCCTCCCATGTTCAGTGATGCTGCCACACCTTTGTCCCATGTCAACAAGACGTACGCTAGGCGATGCGACCACCAAGAGAACTGGCACATCACGTGTGAGGCTTCGTGAGTGATAACACCGAGACCTGCATCTCCAAACCGTTGGCATATGTCTCCCGCCATCAGATAGTGTCACCCCATTTACAAGTACCGAGCCAGCTCGCCCGATATGTCAGACAACAAATCTGACGTCAAATCTTTACAGCCTCATACTCTCTGCTCCCACTGTACATCCTTCTGGGAACGCGCAACATGCCTCAGATTCCAACCTGAAGTACTTCTCAGCGGCGGAGAAGGCGTCCCGCCGATGCCACAACATCTTCCCTTCTCGCCCAACCGCACCGATGTTCTATCCGCCGCTTCGCAAGGCTGCCACTTTTGCTCCATCATCGTTGGAGCCGTTGTAGGATGCACCGGAGATCATGGTGATCGCCAGTTTTCTGGTGATAAGAATGGCCCTATCTACATCTCAATAGCGATGTTAGACACAGGTGCTGGTACTTTTCTCCTTACGTTGTTTCCCTGCGAAGAGTCAAAGATTTTCAGTCGTGATCAAATACTCAGCGATTACCCCTTACAACTGCGCCCACTCACAGGTATAACTTATCAAGTCCTTAGATTTTCTAGAAGCTAATCCATTTCTAGAGAGTCGCGGAGGTCTAAAAGCCGACAATAAACACCTTTTATCGAGGTTGCAATCAATAACCTATTCCGACGCAACTGCTGACTTCATCCGAGCTTGGATTTCTGAATGTCAGAGTACTCATATCCTGTGCGGTGACGACCTTTTGAGCCTCATTCTTGGTTCTACGGAAACAAAAGCGCGACCCCGGCGTTTGCTAGATCTATCAGCTTTTCAGGACATTGAGAAAATACGACTTGTCGAGGCACACAATGACCACACCAAGGAATACTGCGCCCTGAGTTACAGCTGGGGCTTCAGCAAGCCCTATGTCATGAAATCCTCCAATTTGGCGGCGTTTCAGAAAGAAATTCACGTCAAAGATTTGCCGAAACTGCTACAAGACTCCATTCGAGTCGTAAGGGGTCTAGGGTTTAGGTATTTATGGATCGATGCCCTTTGCATAATGCAAGATGGAAGCCAATCTTCTGCAGCTTCAGACGACTGGGTTGACCAGGCAGGCAAGATGAACGACATCTTCGGGAATGCGATTGTCACCATCGCGGCAGCCGAATGCTTTGATGGCAACTCAAGCATGATCGTGCCGCGAAACCCATTGAGTCAACTATCCTGCCGACTGGATATGTCCACAAAACTTGGCTATGAAATCGTTCCATCATGTACTCCCCATTGCTTAATACACCCTTTCGATAAGGCGCGGTATCACCTCGACACAAGAGCTTGGGTCTTTCAAGAGCGGATATTGTCGCCTCGGACAGTGCATTTAACTCGCAACTTCGTTCATCTTGAGTGCAGGACCGAGCTCTCCTGCGGAGCCATGGATGGACCTGATGCATGCCATCACAGTGGCGCGATTGCCAAAGCAGATTATCAAGTTCTATTTTCCATGTTCGGACCCTTCGGGCTCGATGATTCTGCCCACGATGCATTTCTCTCGTTTTGGCATGAGCTCGTCAGGAGATATTCGACTACGAATCTGAGTCGCAAGTCGGACTTGCTGGTTGCCTTGGCTGGTCTTGCCAAGCAAGTTCAGACAAAATCACAACTCACCTGGTCGTTTGGCTTGTGGCAAGAGCATCTACTCCGGGATATGCTATGGTATATTAGAGGAGGAAAAGGTACACCTTGTCGCGATCGGTCACCGACTTGGTCTTGGGTCAGCATTGATGTACAAGGGCCGCAGATCATTTACGAGCCCGCCGCACAAGTTTCTCTTCTTGCTGACATCGTCGCTCTGCCAGATGCAACAGACTTTGTGAGACGTGACTCAATGGTAGATGCAACGAAACATTGCGTCAAGATTTCAGGTCTGTTACGACGTGGTGTTCCGGACTCATCACGGTGTGGCCAGCATGTTGCCTCTAGTACCAGTAACGACATTCACATCCATAGAAACTGCCAGGGAATACAGCGTACCCACCGTCAATGCCCATTTCACCCAGACTACGACCTCCCAGATAACATCGAGTTGTACAGCTTACTTATAGCTTGTGCTTCGGCGGTCCAGCCAAGAATGGGTTCTTCTCAAAGTTCAGATACGCACGTGGGGATTGTTTTGACGCCTGTTACAGAACATGAACGTCGATATAGACGCGTGGGCTATTTCCACATTGACATTCAGGAGACAGATGATGATGATCAACGAATACCGTGGATTATGGAGAGCTCCAGTGTGGCTGAAATAGAGATAATCTAGCAGAGACTTGACAAATCTCAACTGAGGCGTTGTAAAAGGTTTCTGATATACCCCTGTTGTTCTGTCACTCGACCTACACGCCTGCTTGTTGGCTCAAACCATATCAGTGCTTCATTCAATGAGTCGTCAACATATCTAGAAGCTTCCTTCAAGTGTCGTACACAAGCATCTCGGTCATTACGCGTGATCTCAAAGCGCATCTGCTCTATTCTGCCTAGACCCTCTAGGGCAGCGTAGCGCAGCTTGGCCCTTGGGAAACCACTGAGTTGCTCTGCCCGTGCCAAAGCTATCCTGTAGTATGACTCTGCACCGTCTAGATCACCACTATCTAGATGATCATCTGCGACGTTGGTGACAGTCCAGACAACGTTTCGTGCGAACGGTCCATAGAACGATTCTTGGTCCCGCAAAAGCTGAGCGCGGCGGTATCCACCTTCGATACGGTCTTGGCCGTGGTAGAGGCAGTCACAAAGTCGTTCCTCAATATAGAGGCGATGCCAGGTGTGGGGAGACTTATCAGAGAATACTGCCAATGCAGCCCGGAGACTCGAGATAGCCGTGCACTGCAGTAGCGCAGGTGGCAATGAGGAGAGGGACACCAAGAATTGGATGAGAGGGGAGGGCGTTCGCAAGGATGAAGCCATTGCCGCTGAATGCCGGAGCAGGCAGGTCAATACTTCTTGTGCATTGCAAGCCGAGAGCTCACACACAATGGCTAATAGTTGGGCAAGACTCATGGGGTGGCAGTCAGAGAGGAGAGGCTGAACAAGGTCAAAGGCTTGATGGAAGTGTGGAAATGCTCCTGGGCCTCCACGCATCATCTGTGCTAGACCTTCTTGCATGCGGTTCCCAAAACGTCCGTGTGTCGTGAACTGATGAACCGCCGGCTCTGGATGGATGTCTTGGTTGAGGTAGACTCCGCAGTAGTCAGTTAGACTGGCAGCTGCCTTTTGCTCCAGGGTAAATATAGGCGCGGGAATGTTGACAGGAGACATAGACAGGACAACGCTACTGGCTGAAGATAGCGCAGCGAGTGTTGAGCTGCCCTCGCTCGTACCATCCACAGGACTATCTCCCTCTTGAAGAAGCCTGACAGCTGGCTCATCTTGGTGTACTGCAGCTGAACGACACCAATGGATCGGGTTCTGTATGCCCTTGCGTCTAAAATATCGCAGAACCTCGTGCAACGGAACATGACGTCCTCGGATAAGGAAGCAGGGTTCCGGGACTGGCCACGACGTAGGGTCTGGATCAAGTAAGCGAAGAGCCGCAACCATGCTGTGGAATTGGTTGTTTCTCTGTAAGTTCCATTGGCTGATTCGAGCCCTGATCATGCGCGTGTTGACCCAGTATCCGAGCGATTTCAGATGATCCCTGACCTCTGCCATAGAAAGTCTGCGGTCGTGATAGAGCTCTTTGACAAGGGGTCGGAACCGCGACCAGTCCTCGCTTGATGGTATCGTCAGGACCGATTGGGGATTGACTGGGGGATCCATTAGAGCGACTGATTTGGGAATGAAGGCATGCAGAGTTTGTGGTGGATGGGTATTTTGGATATATATGCATGGGCGCTTTGTAGTTCGTATATTGGCGTTCTGTTAAATGGAGTGGATCACGCCACGGCAGTCAAAATGTCCTTCGCTCGCCATTCCATCTCATGAAGGCAGTGAGGGGCTCAAGGGTCGTTCAGCACTTGGAGCTCCCCTCGCATGTTAGCGATATGCAGGTTAAGTGATCCAGATGTCCGGGCAACTTGTCACGGCGCATTAGCCTGACAGCTCATTGGATGCCACTCAAAGTGCACACTTGCAAGGAGGCATTCTTGGAGCGCTCTTCCATAAATTTGCCTACGCTAGCCATGTGAAGGAAGCCTTGTTTTAGTGTAGGACTTATTCGGCAATCGCAAAACTTCAAATCAGCCCATTTGGGGCTTGAAACTTGAAGAATGGGTAAGGAGATGGAGGGTTCAGCTCGTGCGGCTGAGTTGGGATAGCGTGTAAGTTGTAACATCGACCCAATCAACATCAACGAAGAGATCACTATTGATCTACTTACTGATTTTCAAACCGGTCTCTTAGAATTTCAGGCTCTATTGGTGTGTCGCTTTGCCAAGGATACAATCACTATAGTTCTCCAGGCACAAGAACGCACAGTAGGGGCCAAGAATGATTGAGCGAGTGCTCCGCTAAGACCTCTCGAAAACGACAGAGTATTATTCAGTACATGAGAGTGAAAGACAAACTGACCAAAACAGTAGAGTAGGGTAATTAAAAATAACGTTAATCGCAAAAGCCAATCCTCCCAACTACATCATCACACAACTATCCGTCACAGCATCAACAATCTCCTCTACTATCCCACCACTGTCCCCGTCGTCACTATCACCATACCCCGAGAATCTCGTATGAACGTCAGAGTCATGGATTGGCTGATTTGTAGTAGTATCGACATAGCTGGCGCCGTTGTTGTAGTCAACGCCGACTGTGTGGTTATCGTCCGTTGTAAGCTCAGGCTTGTCGACGCTGGTGGGATATTCCACCTTTGGAGGAGGGGGAGGAGTTTCAGATGACATTTTTGACAGGGGATAAATGACAGGTGATGTGAATTGCTCGCGAAGATGAAATAGTTGGCTCGTTCAGCTGAAAGTTGTGAGTAGTTGAGTCAAAGTGCTGTAAGGAACCTGAGCGTGTTCATGATGAAGGTAGGGCCAAGAATATATATACATATATACAAGTACTTACTAATTTGAGTTGTCACTTACACGTGGTCAATACCGACATTACGGGGAGAACTGTACAGAGATTATCGACGGGTCCAAACTACCCGGGCAAAGTACAGTTATGCCTTAACTCCGTTCCAAAGAGGAGGGCTTCTACCACAAACAAGCTTTCAGCCTTAGCCAGGGTAGCTAATGCACGGGCGTTGTTCGTTAGTTGGTCATGCATGGGCGTTCTGTCAAGGCTAGTGGCTTCAGACAGCTATAGTCTTCCATTAGCTTAGACAACCTACACAAGCAATACAACACAAGAGCTGCTAGACAAGCGTCGCATTCTGAAGTCAGTCTTTCAGCTTCTCTTAAGGCCGCTTATGCACGGGCTTTCTGTAAATATTTGGTGTTTTTATGGACAGCCATCGTCTAACCGATGCCATCATCTCACAGACTTGACCCTGCTTTGCGAAATAACCTTATCAGCAAGCATACTGATATGAGAGACCCTAGAGCTGCATAGAGATCACAGTTATGTAATTATATTGGAGGTTGCAGTATTGTAGTTGTACGCCATGAAGTGTCTAGATTCAGCCTCGCATGATTTGATACCAGGCGTAAATTATATATACTTGAGATTGCCTCTCTAGAAAGGGGACCATCTGCGCTCAAACCAAGACCCAAAGAAGCAACTCACACAAGTTGGATACCAACTGCTCAAAACCTTCGATCTTGCATTGATCTCCCCTGCTAAGGTACTGGCAGAGAAACACATCTGAGCATCCTACCAATCTACAATCCCCCCTCAAGACATCGTCTACGGAAAGTAAAGATCAACATGGTCTTCCACCTCCTCCCAGCCCTCGCGGTCGCAGGCGTCAAGTACGTGATCAAAGAAGCAACTGATGCCCCAGCTTGTGGCAAATGCGGCAGGGAGAAGATGAAGATGTGGGCAGGCATTCGCATCATCTTCCTTTGTGAGGACTGCGAAGACGGCATGAAAGTCAAGTTGAGCTTGAAGGCCGTTCAGATCGCGACTTTTGGTGTAAGTTACTGTCTTTTGCTTTTGAGCCAGGTCTTTGATATGCGAAATTGTCTGCTGATATTGGCTGGTAGTTGGCGAATTGATACCCTGTTTTATGCTTGAAGCGGTGGCTATGCCACCTCGATGCAAGTGAGAGTTATGTAGTTACATCAACTGATGTGGAAATTTCCAAGAGATTGAACAGAGCTGCCTAGGCAGGTACACGTGGGAGGGTTAAGAGAAGTGGTTCAGCGATGTGTAGGATCAAGGATTGGACGGATTGATGAATGACGGTTCGCAGGAGTCACTCTTTTGAATAACAATCAATAATGACACGAAGCTTGAACATGTACAACTTTTGAACTACCTTCCTGATTCTTTTGTCTTTTACCTCAGTGCCATTACGATTTGGGATGAGGCAGGATTTCCCTTATTTGCATACATGAATATGAACCTGGAGCATCGAGGCGTTGAGTTTTGAGAACTATACCACAGGTCTCAATTGGTGTTCATCCCAGTGTTCAACTTTCTAGATTACCTTATCTTTAGAAATGGAAATATGTTTCAGATACCTACCTAGCTACTGCAATAGAGGATGCTAGCTATACGTCGAGAATTCCTTGCTATAGTTCAACTTCCTAGAAGTCTTATAAGTTACATAAGTCTTTTAGAATTATATAGTATTCAAGATATCTTATCAGTCACTTTAATATAATACTTTTAAAAAGGAATTATTTATGTTCTATAGAAGAGATTCCAGACCTTTGGCTTCGGATTGTATTACAGTGCAACTTCCAATCCAGGTCGACGTGGATCCACTAAGGTTGGTTGCAAGTAAGCACTGAAGCAGGCTGCAGTTGCAGTTGCCCTGAGAATGCCTTCTTGAAAGCCTCGCCGGGCGATGCCAGAATCATCAGCCACTTTACAAGTTCCATCTCAATTTTTGGTTTCAATGCAGAATCATAAAATTCTACAATCATTTCATCCCCGTATTTCATTTACAAAATGCGGCTTTTGAATGTCGTCGACGAACGACTCGAGAGCTTCTTCGGCGACGAGAACGAGATCCCACCCTACGGTATTCTATCGCATAGATGGGGGAAAGACGAAATTACGTTTCAGGACTTAACACAAGGGTCACTACAGGACTTCCACGGCCGCCAGTCGTTCTCCAAGATCTGGGATCTACTCGACCGGGCCGATAAAGATGGCTTGTCCTATGTCTGGATCGACACTTGCTGCATCGACAAATCGAGCAGCGCAGAACTCTCAGAGGCCATCAACTCTATGTTCAGGTGGTATCAGCAGTCAAAAAAGTGTTATGTCTACCTCGACGATTTTGACGCTATATCGAACTGCAAACTCGTTTATTACGAATATTCTGAAAGAACTGCTATCCTCGATGAATCGGATAACTCCTTCTTCGATAGCCTTTGGTTCACCAGAGGATGGACCTTACAGGAGCTCATAGCACCACGAAATGTTGAGTTTTACGACAAGAACTGGATTAGCTTTGGTTCGAGAGATTTCGCCCTTCTCGATCGTATTTGCCACAGAACTGGTATTTGGCCGCAGTTGTTTCGAGAACCCCGGTGTGCATGCCCAAGCGAAAGGGGACATTCTACCTTTGCGTTTCGCGACGGTGTCTGCGTTGGGTGTCACGGACTTGACACTCTCCCTCAGACTTTGGACTCTTTCGCCGTCTCCATCAAAATGAGCTGGGCGTCTTCCCGTATCACGACTCGCAAAGAAGATGCAGCCTACTGTCTACTCGGTCTCTTTAATCTGAACATGCCATTGCTGTATGGCGAAGGTGACAAGGCATTCTTGCGTCTTCAAGAGGCCATTGTCCGGCAGTCCAAGGACCAGTCAGTCCTGCTATGGCGCGCTCGGCCTGATGTTGCACCTCAAGGGTTTGCACCTGGCTGTTTGGCTCCTTCATCTAGCGCCTTCAAAGAACCCGTTCACATCCTTGGCCGCCGAGTTTTCAACAGGGTCGACAAGAAATATGAGGCCAATTTCCTCGGAAATCTAGCTACAATGGAGATCACTGATACAGCTATACGTACCAGCCTGTGGATTTGCCCTTGCAAGGTGGTGCCTGACGGAACGCAAACTACTTCCCGAAACCTCTGGCTGGGTATCATGCAGCTCGCATACGATGATGATTACCTTATGCGACCTGCATTACTGCTAGAGTATATGGGCACTGTTGATATGTATCGAAGAGTCTACCATCAGCATATTGTTCCCGTTAATCCCAGGATAACTCAAGGTTCTTTCGTTGTAGAGTCATCAATTGGCGAAGTCGATCGACGTCTCTTGGTCACTCCATCCCTCGACGAGGCCACCAAGAAGGACATCAGCATTCTGCTTCAACAGAGCCCCATCAACGCAACGGCTGGCCCTTCTCCTGAAGAGGGCCCAGAGACTGGACCGGTGTATTTCGTTTTGGATAAGCAGAAGCTGGATTTTTTGATGGATAGCGGGGGCAGTCACCCTCCTTTCAGCCGTTACCTTAGTCGTACCACCCAGATACCATCCCGGTGGGCTTTTAAGAAGTGTCAGCACGAAGGAGACGGTGAGAGATATTTTGGTGGTATTCATTTTGTTAATTTTATGCTTGAGATCCCGAAAGGACCAAACTCGGATCAGATGCCAAACGGACAAGGTGTTGATCGGTTTGCTTATACGGCTATCATATGGGGCATACAACGCGAAGTTCTCAAAGGAGGGAGGAATACGTCTCCGTGGCATTTGTGGTGCCGGGTTTTCAATCTGAAAATGTTTACAGAACACGCCCGGACCTCGAATGAAGATCTACAGCCTAACCAGCTCTATCGCGAGATCGACAGTCTCAGTGCAGGTGAGATCCAGGGGCGTATGGAGAATCAGCGGTCACGGCTCTGCCTAGCCGAATATGAAAAGCTCGAGATTCCGCATTCAGCGGTCCCGAGGGCACTGTTCCCTTCGTCATACGGAGACAACTGGTCGGAAGACAATATGGAAACTAGCAAGATGCTTTTGGCAGCCAAAGTGGTGTTGGTTGAAGGACTTGGTCGGAAGATTTTTGAGCTGCACATAAAGATCAGCGACGTAGCCAAAATATAGAAGGAGTAGTTGTAGAGTAACAAGAGTAAGTATATCACAAAGGAAGTCTTATAATCTTTAGTGCAGATGGCCCTCTTTAAGCATAACTTAGGATAATGTCATCACCAACCTAGAGGATAGCAGAGAACTTTACGTAGCTGACAGAAATATTCAAACAGGTATAGGATAATTCATGATAAGTTTAGCGGATACTTTGATGACCTTACCGAATTATTTTTCGCTCCTCTACTTCTTAGTCTAAGGTCTTCTAACACCCTCCCCAAGGCCATCTAACCTCCAACACCAAAATCCACCAGTCTAGGGGGCAACAAAACTTAGGACCTCTATCCTAAGTGACAAAAGACTTAGGCAAGCTCAGTATATATTAGCAATTCTATAGACCAGTTATTTTTGGCACTCTAGTTTAACGTCTGAAGTTTTCTTGCTCCCTGAGCCCAGTGCATGCTAACACACCCAGACACCCTAACAACTTTCAACACAGCCTCTTTATCACGTCATCCGCAAATCAATGTCTCAAACCCCAAATCCCAACTCGTGCAATTCACAATTTCACATGCCCTTCCCATTTTTGCCTCAGACAAGACAATCATCAAGTCATCCAGCCATAGGGTTATTCATTGCCGCCGACTTGAATGATCCTGGTTAGCAAAGCTGCATTCAGCTGCACCTCCATCCAATGTCCTCGCTCTTTAGAGTCATCCTTGGCTGTATGCCACTGATTGGTTAGCGTTTGACGAATGACGGCGGTTTTACAGGGGTTCAGCAGCTTTCGCTTCTTTAGTGAAGTTCGCTAAGGGCTTTCTTATCCGCGGAACGTAATAACTCGAACACTAAGTACTTGTTTTTAGGGCAGGAGGTGTACTGGTTATACTGGCAGGGGGCAGTTCGACAGGGGAATGATCGACCAGGCTGAGAAGGCCCCGCTGCCAAAACACTCAATCAGAGCTGTTGCTAAGAATATCCTCGGCTTGGGTCATGTGTGAGTGACCTTTTCATGATTCTCGCCATCTTCTTCACTCTTTGTTTACTGTTTTCTTCCTCACGTTCTTCTTATCTCCGATGGCAATGTAAAACACCCTCCTACTCGCGCTTGAAACCCCCACGTCACGATGGCCTTTTGGCTTTTTGGTAGCACGAAGCCCAAGAAGTCGACCAAGAAGTCCAAGAAGGGGACAAAAACCACCAAACCGATAGCTTCTTCCAAGCCTAAGATAACTGATCCTCCTAATGTATTTCGTCCGGCCAGACCTCAGATAGAGCAGCCTCTTTATCCAGGCACTGTGCGTCCGAATACTGCGGCGTTGAGACCAGCTCTTCCGTATAATCAGCACAATGCCTCTCAATCACAGCCTCACTTCCAGCCCGCTGGCTATCTGCCAGCACCGCCGAACTTCAACACTCAACCGGTGGTGATCAACCATCACTATCACCTCGGTTCTCAGCAATCGCACCCCAACTTGTCTGCGTTTACACCACCCCATCATCTCGCAACGACAAACTCACACCAGACCCTCTCATCATCATTGAACCGTTTCACAGGATCAATGGTGAATCTCGCCAAGGAATCAATTCCACCACATCTCTACGACGATGGCTTGTCAGCTTGGCATGGATGTGCGCAGATCGCTCAGTCGACGAATGCGCTGTATGATCGGTTCAACGATATCATGACGCTTATTGATCACGAGAAAGTAAAGGGCAATGAGAATACGCTATTCAACTGCGCCGTCAATGTTCAGGAGCCAAAGGCGGATCAAGTCGATAAGGGCTTGGGGAAGATGAAGCATAAGGATAAGCCATCGTGCAATGTTGCTGCGTCTGTGGTGTCGGGCAATTACTTCTCCAAAGTCGAGCAATATGCAAACTCCAAGCTTCCTTCCTCACTCCCTCCACTATCTCTGTATGTATATCCATCCAGTCTCAATTCTTTTCTAACAGAAGCAGGCATATGCCTACGTGGCCTCTCCTTTGTCTTGCAGCCCAGTACTCCCAACGCGTCTACGAAAGACCTCGCGGTACCGAACGTGACGCCCACGTCTCATCCGACTGGCTCGCTGGTCCTAGACAGACCTGCATAAAGTCCGTTTCCATGGACGACATGAACACCATCGTCTTCGCCATTCGCGGTACAGCTAGTTTCATGGATTGGGCTGTCAATCTCAATTCTGCACCAATTAGCCCACTGAACTTTCTCGACGATCCTGGAAACTTGTGCCACGCGGGTTTCCTCTCCGTCGCTAAGAAGATGGTTCGCCCGGTAGCTGCAAGATTGAGACAGTTGCTTCAAGAGGACCCTAAGCGCTCGACGTTCAGTCTTTTGATTACGGGACATTCGGCTGGTGGTGCTATTGCTGCGTTGCTATACTCGCATATGGTAGCCCAGACGAATCCGGCAGAGAGTGAACTCAACGTTCTGACGAATTGCTTTAAGAGAATACACTGCGTCACGTTCGGTGCACCACCTGTGTCTCTCCTCCCACTAGCAAAACCCGATACCCATGCTCTCAGAAAGAGCATCTTTTTGAGCTTCGTCAACGAAGGAGATCCCGTTGTCCGCGCCGACAAAGCCTACGTCAAAAGTCTTCTCGATCTGCTCGCTTCACCACCACCATCCCAACGAAAAGACATGAAGAAATCACACAAGAAACCCACATGGAACGTCCCCCCGTGCACACTGAGCAACGCAGGCCGTATCGTGGTGCTACGCTCAGGGGACCTAAACGCCAAGCCCAAAGATCGCAAGACTGTGCGAGAGCGTCTTGACGAGGGAGTTGTAGCAGTGACATGCTCCGAGGAGAGCTTGAGGAGTGTTATTTGGGGAGACCCCGTGTGCCATCTAATGAGCTTGTATGCTGCGAGGATAGAGGTGCTAGCTGTGCGGTCTGTGACTGCAAGACGTTAGCATTGATGAGAGTTGGAATCTTGGTTACGAAGTAATGAATGAACGGGTTTGACTTTGGCGTTACCATTCCAACAGAACGAAAACAGAGATACCAGCAGAATACCCAGAATTTACAATTGAGTCGATACAATCACAAGCGAAGCAGCGGAATTGGTGCTCAACAAGTCAAGCTGGATCAATGCACAACGTGAGAGAAGTTCAAAATGGCTTGAATTGAGTAAAGTTTTAATTCATAATTCTATAACCACAAAGTGAAGAATTTGCATGACACCATAAATGTAAAGCCTTCCGTAACATAACATCACCGATTCAAATCTCCTGACCACATAACAAGCATAACATGATCCTCAGCCTTTATCTTATAAAAGACAGGTGTGATCCAAAACTCCAAAGCACCAACCTCTGATTTCCGTTTGATCCGCAGACAGAAAACATCCAAAAACTTGCTCGCAAGATAAGATACACAAGGTGAATGAAGCGCTGTGTTGTTGTGCGCCTATGTCATAGTAATTCCAGGGAAGAGAAGAAAACATGCATAGCGCTTGCCTGGGCATCTAGGCCCAGACATGATAATATTTTTAAATTTTGGTGTGATCATCGCATTGAAAAATCCATATCAGGCATTGATCCCATTTGCGATAAGGGGGGCTGGTTTTGCATCTGGTAACTGTTCTGCCGCTGTGGTTGTTGTATACCATATATCTGGTTTATCGATGGGTTCATGGCTGAACTGTTGACATTCTGATTCTGCATACCCTGCAAGGGAGGTTGACTTCCGACACGCTGCTGATGTTGTATGTTGCTCAGTGGATTGGGCTGGGAGGCTGTAAATGAGTTCATGCCCATTTCAGACATGTCAAAACCGCCCATGTTCACGTTACCGACATTGTAGTCGATGCCAGGGGACATGACATTAGCAGGTGAGCCGACAAATGCTGAAGCTATGTCACTACCCGGTTGTGTACCAGGAGGTGTACCATTCGAGTAGTTTGAGTTGGGGATTGTGTCAGGGCTGCTGCCACTCAAATCGTACTTGGTCTCATTCTCGTCGACGACCATGCCTTGGTTGTAATCGTTCATTTGTGGCATGCTGGCCATACCGGCATTACCAAAACCATCGAATATGTCAGCAGACATTTGGAAAGAGCCGTTCTCTGGGGCATTTCGCAACAATGGGTCGGCAAGACGCGGGAGAATCTCGTTGACCTTGGCCAACAGGAGAGGGGTGAATGCAAAGTCGCCATTCCGGGCAGGGTCGAGAGAGGTAAGGAGATCCTGGAGCCATTGGTGAGGGCCCACGGCCAATGGGTGTCGGTCCGGGGGCAGGTTAGCCAAATAGGTAGTCAAGTTGAGACAGATCTCGAGTAGCTTGGGGAACTGTGGGATTGTTAGAAACGTGTCATTCAAACAGGGCATAAAACACATACCAAGCAGGACTTTGCAAGCTCAAGTGGTTGACCGGCGAATGAAGAAGCCATCTTACTGGTCATTTGTCGTGCCAGATCGCCGTGGTATTGACTCTGGGTATTGTTGAGCTGCCAGATCGCATTGTTGAGGAATTGTTGACTAGCCATGTAGGCAGTTTCGGCATGGAAGGGGTTCGCAGCTTGCCACTCCTTGAGGTGATTCTTAAGACCAGTAATTTGATGACAGTCGAGATGTTCGCAACCATTTCTCCAAGCGGCCAGGAAAGAGTCGTCCATGGGGCGGAAGATGTTGCACATGATGAAAAAGGCGTGAAGTTCGGGATACAAGGCATCATTGGGGTCGTCGTGCATCTGGCTAGGTGCGATTGTCGCATAAAGGGACAAGGGTCGACGGCGGTCGAAAAAGTAGACGCGCTCAGTGGCGAACAAGAACCAGAAAAATCGACGTCTTCGGACAGATTCAGTTTGAGAGAACTGGGCATAGGTCTCTTCCTTGTCCATGTTTGCAAGTAGAGCCATAGTAGTGGCCTCTCGCAGGTAGTACCACGCTCTGTCTGGTCCATCGATTATTTTCATGCAAGAATAGATGAAAATATTTGTGACCAGAATATTGAAGTTCGGTGTCTCAAAGTATTCGGTGCCCTTTCGAACGCGCAGGCACTCCTCGAGAAGTAAAGAGCTTGCAGCGATGTTGGCACCGGGTTGTGCCTGAAGGCTGTAGGACTCTTCCGCCGATGAAGTTGGCAGGACCATACCGGGCTGAAGTACTACATATGCACAGAGGGCTGCGAACAGACAGTACCTGTCACGACCGTTTTCCATATTTTGCATCATATGTTCGATTTTGGTTCGGTCGAGAAAAGGTAGTGTCGAGTAAGCATTTTCGAAGTAGTAGTTGACACAAGCCTTGATAAGGTCGTTGGACAACATGCCAGCCGTAGGGTTGAGAGCAGGAATGGTAAGGTCCACGGGTTGTCCAGCGAGTCTGTTCTGCACCTTGGCAGCAAGACTGGCCTGACGTTGGTTGTCTCTCAATTCGGTGATGACTTTTGCGCGAGAACCCTTGGGACCTTTCTTCTGAGG